CCCTAAACTCCCTAAACCCTACAAGCTTTGATCACCTTCTCTTTTCGTGTGGATTCTTCGCTCCCACCTTGGTCGCGGCATTGTAGCCGTACCCGAACTCCTTGCCGCGGATGTTGAAGACCACCTGTTGGTGTTTAGGGGTTTAGGGTTAGNNNTTTAGGGTTTGGGGATTTGGGGTTGAGGGGTTTAGGAGTTTACGGGTTTAGGGTTTGGGGCTTAGGGGTCAAGCGATAGCTTTGATATACCTTGATCTGTTATGCAACAGACGTGGCCAGTGCAGCAATCGCACGAAGGGGCAGAGCAAGGAAGTCCGACGCAAAAATGTTGTGCGGTTCCTGTCCGCGTGATTGTCAGGAATTACAGTGTTGTAGAGTCTTATGCGAGATCTGGTTTATCGACTCAAGGTTACATGGCCGAAAGGCTTTAGGGCTTCAAACCTTTTGAAATCTTGCCTCGCTGGGGTCCTCTCCAGCGTTGCGAGCAATCTGCCTGATGGGAGCCTGCGGCAGGGCCGATCTTCGGCTTTGGGGGTCTCCGGGTTTAGAGATGTGACGGTTTAGGGTTTTAGGGTTCAGGGCTTCAGGGCTTTAGGGTTGAGTTTAGGGGTTTAGGGTTCAGGGTTTGGGATTTAGGCCGAACTTTAGGGATTTAGGATGCAGGGACTTCGGACTTGGGGGTATGATTGAATCAGTGAACGTCCGACAAAGAGTGAAAGCCAACTGCCGAAAATGTGTGCCCTCAGCTAACCTAATCCCTGAATCCCAACTTTACACTCTAGACCATAAACCCTAAACCCTAAACCTCTAAATGTTTAAGTTTCTAAACGAAGCCAGTGACAAGAAGAATCGGTGATCGTTACCGTGGCCTGTAGCGACTTGAAGACGAGCTCGGCTCCCTTCTTCTCGTCCTCTGTCTGGAGCTCCTGACGAGTTATTTGACGGTATAGGGGTTTAGGGGTTTAGGATTTAGGGGTTTAGGGGTTTAGGGTTTTAAGGCTTAGGAGTAACAGCAACGTCAAGCACAAGAATGAAGCTCTTCTTCGCTGCCAACATTAGGAATTAAGAATTTTGACAATGCTGATGACATCAATGACCTTGTCTTCTTAATGCTTTGCACTTGTGTGGCAGAGTCTGGTGTAGGAGCTGCAAATATCCGAATGGAAGACTCTTGAAGTTCAGGTCTGAGCACACCGTTCCGGATTGGATCACAGACTTGCGATTGCCTTCTGCACTTTCTCCAGGAACTTCTCTGCCGTCAGGTACATCAGCACACTTCCGCCGCCGGGAACAATGCCCATCTCCTCACCAGAGCTACACTTCAGGCCGGCAGCTATATAATCTTATCAGTTTGAACATGACAATAAGTTTCAGACGGAATGAACGAGCCCACTTGCGGAAATAAAGTTCGTGTCAAAGAAAACACCCTGCTGCATCCAAAGACGCTGTGCTTAGAAGCTTAGAGGTTCCCCGCTCCGTAACAGCATCCGCTGCCTTCTCTACGCAACATATCCAAACAAGGCTTACGCGGATACAGCGGCACAACTAGCATACAAAGTGGACACCGCGGTGGCTAAGGATTCTTCTTCACAGCTACGAGCACAACGTGTTTCGACACCCTCCTGTGGTCAGGCCCCAAGATTCCCACCACTTTGGGCCAAAATCTCTCACTTCCCCTTCGTGCTTCCTTTGCGCTGCGGACTGCGCTGATGGCATCCGTGTATCGGAGCCTCGGGAGGTCGGAGGTGCACGAGGCCTCTTTCCGGAAGCAGAGAAGAAAATATCTCGCTTGCCGAAGTCCGCCCGAAAACCCTCAGAAGAGTCGCTGTTGCTGGCTTTGTAGACATGGTGGCGGAATAGGGTCCCAATACTGAAACATGTGCCGAAGACCTAATATTGTTTTCGCTAATTGAAAGTAGTTACCTCGTTATTTACCTCGAAACCCCTGGACCTAAACTCTCCGAGCTCGGCGGCTTCTTGTCGTTGACCTCCGTCTCGGTAGCACCGCCCACCTACATGGGAGAACAATAGCTCTGGCGCAGGGGGACATGAAAGCTGCGGCATTGAACTGTGAGACTGTCTCTGGTGAAGAGCATGCCTAAACCACGGTGGTGGTGGTGGTGGTGGTGGTTGTGGTGGTGGTGGTGGTGGTGGTGGCGGCGGCGGCGGTGGGGGGGGTGGTGGGGTGGCGGCAGAAGTAGCGGCGGAAGCAGCAGTAGTTAGTGCTAGTAGTAGCAGCAGCAGCAGCAGCTGCAGCAGCAGCAGCAGGAGTAACAGTAGGAGGAGGAGTAGTAGCAGCAACTAGCACTGGTGGTGGGTTGAAAATTGGAGCAGCCACAATGGCAAACCCAATAGTAATAACAATATGACTTATATATGACAATAGAATGATAATAAGCGGCTGGTGGAGCGTTATTTTAGCTGCAACCCAACCTTGATCTTTGCCACGCCGCCACCCAGCGAAGCAATTCGTTCCTGGCACTCAATGTGCAAACTTGGCCAAATCATGCAGAGACTGTGGAATCAAAGCATAAAGAATTGCTTGACTGTATGTATGGCATTGATGACGCAGAACTGCCCAGTCAAGGGGTTAAAAACAAGAAGTGCAACCCTTTCAGTTGTGAAGAGCATTACAGGAGGCCACGCAATCACAGAAATTCAACTTGTGTAGCCGATCAAGGAAGTTTGCAAATGCACTAGTGGGTGGGGCGGAGGGGCGGGGTTTGCGTCTGCATCCATCTTGTATGCTGCAACAGCATGTCAGCATGTCGCATATCTGCCGGCAAAGGATGACGCAACTGGCTCTCATGTCGCTTGAGACACTTCCTTTTTCTGCGCCCTCAGACAGTCTCAGTCCTAACATGTCCTAGCAGTCCTAACATCTCTCTCTAAATCACCGGGTGTCCTGCTACATGTCTGGAACGACTTCCTCAAGACAGCACTCTGCACTCAACTCGACCTGCTTTCACAAGGGAGCACCACCCGGCGAAGGTCGTTAACTCCTTGAAATCATTAACAGTCCTGAAGACAAAGGCTTCAGGAGGGCCTTGAAGGCCGAAAGACTGGGAAGAAAAGCCCGCGAGCGGGTGAAGCTACCCTACAGTTGGAGCAATGACATACTTCCGATCTTAGAAGTCAAACATAATTGCATTCCCGTCGTCTCCAGCGCAGACCAGGCAGGATTCTGTGGCAGCAAGGCACCGGATGGCATTCTGCCCAGCATCCAAGACATAGAGCTTCTGGTTTCTGCGGATGTCGAAGCAAACCACTCGGCCACGCCCATCTCCAGTGAAGACAAGATCGTCGAGGACCAACATGCTATAAATGAAGTCCTGAACGCCGGGGAGGGTACCGGACGAGAATAACAATAGTAGCTGTAAACACTAACAGTCACTAACATACTGGTCGAACACAACCATTGATGGGACCCTCGGGCGATTCATTGATAGCAAAATAGCAATGGCACTCGGCATCGAAAGTTTCAACGTCGAAGCAACTAGCTGGCTGTGGAGAAAACGCGTATTCCTCTGGCATCACCCCAGAGTAGTCTCGTCCTCAATCCGTCCTGAAACCTACAAATACCAGCTACAGGACAGTCGCTACAATTCATTTCGATGTAAAAACGATGTCATGCCACCACACATGCAAGAAATCATTTGTGCAGCGAGACCTCGGGGCACAGACCAAACACGTGGCAAACAGAGGAGGGATTCAAGACATGCAGAATGCAGGCAACAAGGGCCTTCGTTCTCTCTTCCTTGAGGCCCCCTGTTTGCTGGCAAGCCGCAGCAGTGATGTCACCAAATTCGAAGAGCGGCTGAAAGGCGGCTCTCGGATCGAAACCAAGCAGTCGCCCATCCGCGCCAGCCGTGACAATCACCGGTGGGCTGCCCATGGTGATCCCGATCTCCTGAGGTGGAAAAAGTGCTTCTGAGGCACCTGGCCAGTAACCTTCAAGCCTGAATCCCCCACACTCACGATGCTAGGGAGCTTGGTGCCTAGATGTGAGGGTAAGTTGAGCTACATTGCCACTGAGCAGCCTACTTGCCGAAGTCTCATGGAGAGAAGCAACCCCAAACCCCAAACGAAAAACGCTAAGCCCCAAACCCTGAACCCAAGTGGGGCACCCGAAACCATCTTACCGCAAAGAATTAACCGGCACTCCTTCCAGCTTCTTGCATGTTTCGCCTCTATGACCGGGGGGAACACTGATGATGCCCCCTTTGCCCCAACGAGACCCGCAACAGTGAGCCAGTCCCAGGTGCATTTATGGCGCCGCCTGGGTGTGCAGCCATGGTGTAGGTGTTCCTGAGTTCTTGTTCAGGAACTTTTACTTCAAACTGCCAAAGACGCAAATTAAATTCTGGCAACGAAGGCATCCAAGTCTTGAAGCTCGATGCTGGTGCTATGATGATCATGAACGGAAGATTTTCGCTCTACATAAGCCTGTTGTGGTAGCTAGGTTCAGTTCTTGAAACCCTTTTAACCCCCCTCAAACCACCTGGGACCAAGTTGACCGCTCCATAACAAAAGAGCCCAGGAACAGCTTCTGCCGCAGGTCCCAGATCCGCAGCTGGCCATCTTGGGCTCCTGCAATTCTGGCTTGGAAGCCGTGCTTTTCTGGGTGGCTTCAGGGGTTTTAAGGGGTTTTAAGGGGTTTTAAGGGGTTTTTAGGGGTTTTTAAAGGGTTTTTAAGGGGTTTAAGGGGTTTAAAGGGGTTTAAAGGGGTTTGGGGTTTCAAGGGCACTTTAGGTGGGAGGGGCCGGGGTCATCCATCCCCCTAAGGTGCTAAATATGCTACGTCAGCAATGCTGGTTCCATTTATCTACCCATAGGCCCCTAAGTAGTTCCTTTTTGGGATTACCTTATAGGATTCTAAATATAAACCACAAAAAGGAACTACTTAGGGGCCTGTGGGTAACCTTATCGGCTCTGACGCTACCAACAGAGGGCTGCCCTCCCCCAGCGCTGCTCCTGTCGCGATGAGGCCAGAGTGTGGGCTACCGCTTTGAGCCTCCTCGCCTGTGGCAAAGCAGGGAAGCGAGACTTGGGTCCTTCTTATAAAAGGATGTACCAAACTATAATATAATATTAAACTATATTATACTATATCATATTATATTTTAGTATATTATATTATATTTTGTGAAAATATTAGGACTGAGGAATATTCCTTCTTCCAGCAGAGATATTCTGACTGGCCAAACAAGGCCCTCGACTCTTGGAAGCTGGGCGCTCCGCATGATCCCTCAACCAATAGCCCCAAACCACACAACCCGAAAAAAAAAAAAAACATCCCCCAAAAACCCTGAAACCCCCAAACCCTATATAAACCTCACAACACAACCCAAAGCCGCAAAAAAGCCAAACTTTCAAGCGCTTGGCCTGATCCCTCTTGCGGCAGGGCCAGCATCGCAGTGATGTGCCCTTTGTGCCCACGTAACGTTCCCATGTGCTGCGCAGTTCTGGCATCCCATACCTTGGCCAAGGCTGCTCAAGACAGGAGGGGTTCGGAGTATAGGGCTTTGGGGACTTCGGGTTGAGGGTTCAAGGCTCACGTCTAAGGGCCTAGGGTCTAAGGGCTTCGGGTTTTAGGGCTGAGGGGACAGAGACAAGGGTTTATCTTGAATCTTGGTATCACTCTGCAACCCTTCCTCAAATCCTTCAGTCAGCTACTGAACGAACCGAAATTCGGCGACGAAACCGTGTGTTGGTTCACCAGCAGAGTCGTTGAGGGGAGCTGGGTACGGCAGATGTCAATTGCAATTTGCCGCCGGTTCACTCGCACCATGCCTGCACGGTCACCACTGGCAACCACATCATCCACCCAAACGAACTCGGTGATGGAGGCATCATGACCTGTGATCCAGAAACCCTTCCTGGTCCTTCCTGCACCCATGCATGTCACGCGAGATAGACCCACGGCGAATTATTGGAGCTACGCCAAGGTCTCAGCGATGGAACCACTCTCTCATTCTCAGCGTCTTCACTTAAGAAAGGCCTGTGCAGCAGCCGAGCTCCGTCTTCTTCCGCAAATCCCACGCCCGCAAGGTGCGATCCTCAGACCCGCACTTTTAAGCTCCTGAAGCCTTTGCTCGCCGAATGCTTCCTGAGCCAAGCTGCATACGCGGCTGAGATGGCGATGTCCATGTGCCTTGAGAGCCGGACAAAACGGGGCAGATGCTGAGAAGGCGAAGGGGCTTCAGGGCATCTTTACCAAGGGGTCTCCTCAGAACCGGATCCTGGAAGCCCTCCATCGACCGCAGTTCTCCCGCCAACAATCCTAGCAGCCATAGCATTTCTGCAATTTAAGGCGTACCGTGCCGGCAGCACAAGGAAGCAAACCTCAGACATCACCCAACCAGTGAATCGGCATCTTCCTTTGCTGCCCAGGGGCGCATGTGCGCGCACGCGGCTGATGGAGCCGACGTGGCCGGTGAGGTCAACACAGGATACGCCCGAGGCCTGTGCAGCTGCCATGAAGAGTTGAGGCAAGGGCCTTGCAATGTGCAAACCCGAACATAGTAGGATCCTACAGCCTGCATTAAGGGGCCCTTGACTTTAAGGCCGTACGTAGGTTCGGAGGAACACCGCATTGGCTACAGTTCACGGCGCCTGCCAAAGACAGAGCTTGCTGTCGAGGCCGCCGGAGATGATACGACCATCCCGACAGTGGGACACCGTAGTCACCCACTCTGTGTGGCCAAACCTTGATGTGTCGAACAACTAATTTTGATGTGATTAATTACTCTGAAACTACCATTGCTCATACCATTGCCAATTGTGATCGGAATTAGAGCTGCTAAGCTGCTAATGCTATTGCTACTGTAAGTTATTGACGCCAGCTGCGGTCTCGACATTGTGACTCAGCCAAGCTTCCTCTTGGTGTAAAGGTTTCTCATCACCGTGCCGGAGCGCACGTTAATCCTCATCTGCTCATGCATGGGGGCTCAAGCCCAGGCACATACCTTTGCCTCAAGTTCTGTTCATAGTGGCCTTTTGCTGTCAATCAGGATCCTCGTCCGGTGATAAAGGGAGCCTGCTTCTATGTACTTTGCACGATCAAGTACCATCCAGATGAAGCGCATCTGAGTGTCTCCTTCAATCCATGGTCGGCGCTGCCACACACCGCAAGATCACCTAACTTGATGCATGCTTCATTTGCAAAGCACCTGGAGCCTCAGGCCAGGAGGACATCCATCACAGTATGGCCCAACATGCTCTCCAAGTCTCCTTGCAGGGACATGCACATGATGTTGCCTCAGGTGTCAGGGCAAGCCCATGTCCCCCTTGATTCCATTGATAGTCCTCTTGCAGTGATGGCTTAACTTGTGACAAGTCTCGGTCGGAAAGGTCCGCCACTCGGCCGCTGTTGCAGCTGTTGAGCACTTCCTTGCCGTGCTTCACGCTGGTCCACTCCTTCACCTCACCAAGGCTTTGGATGCCATGCATATGTATGTATGCATGCATGCATGTATGCAAGTAAGTAACGTATGTAGCGTATGTAGCGTATGCAGCGTATGCAGCGTATGTAACGTATGTATGTATGTATGTATGTACGTACGTACGTATGTATGCATGTATGTATGTATGTATGTATGTATGTATGTGTTATGTATGATGTGTTATGTATTATGTGGTATGTGTTATGTGTATGTGTATGTGTGTGTGTGTATGTGTTTGTGTATTTATATGTACATGCATATGCGTATGTATATGTATATGTATGTGTACACAAAGGTATGAAAAGCTGGCTGCAGCGCCCCATTTTTCAGCCATGCTGCCGGTAGGATGGCATTCCCGGGACCTTCACGCCACCTCGGGCCAAGGTGTCATTAAGACAGCCGTAAACTTCGTCACTACGACTACGAGCACGAGTATAGTAAGCAATGAAGGAAGTAGTGATGAAAGGATAGTACTCGTGACAGTGACAGCAACAGCAACCTGGGCTGCTTGCGCTGCGACTGCTAGCCAAGAAGTCCAAACTCCGAGCCTCTTCCGCGTTACTCGAACCCCAAACCTTTACTATAGACTATGACAGAAACGGGTGCAGAAGAGAGCGCGGGCCAAACCCCGAAACCCGAAAGTATTGATCGGCCTGGCCTGGCACCGGTACCACTGGCAGCAGACCGGGTGACCTGACCCAGGAACCGTTCTGAGCTGACTAGGGCCTTAGGGTTTAGGGTTTTGGGGTTTCGATTTTAGGGTTTAGGATCAAGCTTTACGACCCTAGAGTATCCCAAGCCCTCACTGATGCCGCTGCGCTGGAAAGTCCGGAACCTGAAACTCCTGAATGCAAGCAAAAGCGGAAATCCTGCAGGCCAGGCTGCCACAACGGCTCCACAGGCAGAAAGCATGGAGCCGATGCCTGCCTACAGAAGGTGCTGCAAGCTAAGACTAAGACCACTTGCGGGAGTCTTTTTTTTTGGGGGGGGGGGGGCTCGGAGTTTAGGGGTTTCCGATATCCGAGTCCGGAGTTCTTAAAACCAGGGACTCTTCAAGTGGGATGTGTCAGGATTATAGGGGCATCCTTGCGCAGTGATTAGGGTCCCTTACTGTCTGAAACTCCGACACAAGACAGACAGGCAGATGTCGACAGACGCGCAGAGACAAGAAGAAATCCAGCTGTATGCATAGTATGCATTACGCGTCGAAGTGAAGTCACCAGCAATCCTGTAGTTAGTTAGGTCTTACGCAGCTCTTACGGGTGCAGGGCTTATTGGTCCAGGTATTGAATTCCAACGATCTAGGGTTTAAGTATAGGCATAGGCCTTATGGGCCTAGAATCCTAGAGGTTAAGGGTATCTTCCGCTACACCGCACATGGGAACTTTCGAGGGCCTCCAGACCTTTGCTGCGAGGAGCCGGGGCTGCCTTGGCCAAGGAGCCGCGGCTGCTGGGCCGGGAGATCGAATCGCCACCTCGAGAGCACAGCTCAGAATTTCACTTACAGGTGTTATTCAAGTTTTTTTTTTTTTTTTTTT